TGATTTGAAAGTTTCAAGCTCTCCAGGTTCCTTCTCGTTGGGGGGGGGCACGTTCCTTGAATGGAAGTCCTGGTGTTCGATGGCCATTTCCCCACGAGGTGCACGTCGGATTCTTCAAGATCTCTAGAGATCTTAGGACGCGTTTGTAGCCGAGCGTTTTGTAGCGCCTTTTATCGGCGCCGGTGTTTGCCCCGCTTGACATGAGGTGACATGAGGTGACTGAGACGGTGTGCCCAACGGCCACCGTCCCTAGTCAGCATCTCTGACTTGCGAGTCGTGGGCAAGCACTAGGTGAGGAAGACCTCCCATCATATCCATGCACATTCGACTTGCAACACGCAAAGCGAAGGGAGAGTAGGGAAATATGTTGGATGTCCATCATTCGGCTTGAAAAAACACTGTCACATGTCTCCCAGTTTTTATCAGCAGCTAGTTGATCTTTCCCGTGAACTCTTCAATCCTCTGGAAACAACAAGCCACAAAGCCTTAGGGCTGTAGTAATATAGACCACCTTAAACCCCGATTACGTTTGCCGGATATTTGTTGGCGCGCACTCGATGCAGGTGTGGAGAAGAGCATTCAGAATCAACCGTCCAGTGGCACTGCAATCAATGGATACCTGGAAGCAGAAGGCATTCTGATTACACTAGCTTCAGCTTCTTTCGCATCAATCTTTGGACATCAAATGGTGATCCACTGGTCGCGTTGGCACTGTTGGCACCAAGGCGATCCACCATGCGTTCTAATGTTGAAGGACAGTTGAAGGAGCTTGACCCATATGTGTGTTTGCTGTTTTTTTGAGGATCTTGGAGATGGGGAAAAAACACTATATATATATATATACAGTGTATCATAATATACATACATTATACATTTGTATAATCATCTTGTTTTGTTTCACGCATTGGCCATCTACTTGGCCCTCGACACTCGGGGTTCAAAACTCAGGATACGAGCATGTCTTGGATCCACCACTGATGATGCGAGATGTCAACTACTGGCTCAACTATGAGCAGCCTGGCCCGTGCAAATGGCTCACAACGACCGCGAGTTAAAACTGAATCCAAATCAATGCCTTGAGCGCTTTTGCCATTCAGGGAATTCCTCAAGAAATGGCAGCAACAGATCGAGATTTGTACCGCCAGAAAACAGATGATCACACCATCACCCTAAGAATACTTGCACCCGCCAGAAAACCGGGGACGGACCCTCCAGAAAACAGGAGTTTTGGATCCTTAGGGCAAGAATCTGGCCTATTTACAACCTACTAGCGATAGCCTCCAACCTACTAGCGATGGCCTCCAACCTACTAGCGATGACCTCCAACCTACAATATAGCGATGGCCTCTTCCAACCCGTTGCTGTTCCGATGTGCTTGACCCGTTGGTGTTCCGAGGTTGGCCAAGGAGCCTGAACCGCGAATCACCTGTGTGAATGGCGCGGTGGAAGAGTCCTGCATCAGTCAGCAACCTGCCGGGGGAGTCAGTTTTGCGATTTCCGGCGCGCCCGGCACTGCAGCAGCTGTGTTTTTTTGCTTTTCAAGAGTGTCCGCATGCTGTTCAGATTCCAATGGTTGTCTTTTTCCCACATCACTGTTAGCTTTTTTTCCCACGGCAAGAAACGCATATTATATATATATGTATATAAAGCAGGATGTTTGGCTGGCATGTTTGAGTGGCATCTTCCACCGATTTTTCTTTTTCTGCCACCGGTGTTCGGTCAACTGCGACGCTCCGACGCTCCGGCTGAATGCGACGCCATCGGTCCGATGCCACAAGGAGAGAAACGCAGGGGCTTTTGGACCAGGCCGGTTCTGGGTGGACACCGAAAAGACTGTTGCTTGATGTTGTGAGATTTGCGAGGGTTTGGACTGACTCTGAAGAGCACCAGCCAAAATAATGTGCTGTTGAATGGAATCGAGCAGAACTGTCCTTTTTTGACAGCTTGTTCAGAAATGAATCCGCCATGGTCAGGATAAATTCATCCGCGACAATATCACAGAAGATGATATTCTGGTTGTGGATGTGGGTGGAAATGATGTTGCCTTGCGGCCAACCTGCGGCATCATCTTCAACATGGCATCCTGGTCCAACCACTGATTGAAGCAGACGGCTGTTCGTTGGGCCAACTGCAGCATCCGGTGAATGCGGTTAGTTGGACAGGGTGGACTCCGTGGACTGCTAGAATTCGCGGGAGCATCTCTCACAGTAGCACAGCCACCTATTTGGGGGAGCGGTCGTGTAAAAGCCTTCCCAGACACCCGTGACCGTTGTGAAGGTTGGTGTCAGAGTGACAGGAGCGAAACAACCTATAGGAAACTGATGATTTTTGTAGCGTTCCTGGGTGGGAGGATCGCCAGAAGAATGCACTGAGAAAAGAAAAGACTACGAACCGTTCTCCCTCAAGAAGGACACCTATTGTTTGTTGGGGCTCCAGCTGCACTTAGCACAGCGCTTACAAAAAACATCGGAAGCGTCTTGACTAGGAGGCGGCCTCCAGCTTCTTCAGTTCGTGACCTTGGAGTCACCATCAAAGTGACCTTTCGGCCTGTGACCTTCACCAACCGGATCAAGTTCGGAATCGCGGCTCCACATGTGATGCCTCCTTCCATACCAAGGCATGGCTCCTCTATCTAACTCCAACGTGTCTCATACGCTGCTGTCCATGGTTGGCGCCCGGCATGTGGTACTTCTTCTACATGTTCCGGGTGAGGCTCAGGCGTATCATCGACAAGCTGATTGCCAAGCGAAAGCCCAAGATGATTGTGCTCCCTGACGGTTGGCAGATTTTTGTTTCATGTTTTCTTGCAAATGCACGGACTGGTGGGACGCCTGGATGAGTTCCTGGAAACATCTCCACCTGAAAAGCCAGATGCCAAGATGCCAAGATCCCTTCAATGTCGAGTTACGACCAGAAATGTCCAAGGCGGCACTTGACCATTTGTGGTTTCTTCTCAGCTTGTGTTTTTAGTGATCCAGAGCAATTTGGGGGCGGCTGTGTTTGTTCATTTGGCACTGCTTGCACATGACCGTATACTGGATGCTATCTCAGTGTCAATCGACACTTATGAAAGTCCTAGTAGATTTGCACGCTATGAATAGCTTGTCAATGAAAGACTACAGAGAGACTGTCATTTGGGAAATTTCCTCAGAGGGAGACCTGGGATGTTCAGTATACCGGCTTTGTGTACGGGTGGAATAGCGGGTCCGACCACATCCTAGATGGCAACGAGTGGTTCCAAAGACTAAAACCACAGACCTATAGAAGTCCTAGTTCCTTCTATATAATACAGTGGCAATTGGGATCCTACAACCGATCAATCCAAGCTACTTCCCTCAGTTTCCTTTTCCTGAACCACATCCAGTCCTGCCCGGGTCAAGTCCCGCTTGTGTCCGTAAGGATTTGCATGCTGTATTTTCTCGATGAGCAGCCGGGCGGCAGCTGGGCAGATGGCACCCTGCAAGCTTTGGGCTATGACACCAATCCAGACAAGCTCCTTGGTGAGACCGCGACCACGAGTTGGGGGTGAGGACAAGGGGAGAACATTGGTGGTGGCTTCAAGTGATGCACCCCCCTTGCACCTGGGGCGCCTTGCTTTGATTTGGGGTATGACTCGTAGACGTCGCATCCAACGCTCTGGGACGATCGATCTTTCGCCATGATGACCCCAGACGTCGCCCTGGCAGACTTGAGGCTTCAGACGGTGATGCGACAGGTCTACCACTGGGGCATCTCACAAATCAATATCCCCAACACCACGGCGGCTTGGACGCAGCCGACGGTGGTGCTCGGTCCGGGCGTTTTGACGATGCGCCGTTGTTCGGGCGGCACAAGACAAAGCTCTGAGAAAGTGAGAAAGAAGAAGAGCTCATCCCAGGAGTTTCAAGGGGGTGCTTCATGGAAGTCAGGGTTGACACCCACTCACTAGATGGGACTCAACACCACCTCTTTTGACCCCTGGTCCATATGTTCGGTTCTTTTTTGGGGGGGGGAGCATCCTAGTCTTCACAACCATTTTGTGGGAAGGTTACTTCTTCCCGAAACGAACGTGGGACCCCAACTGGTCTGGCAAGATCTGGTCACGCTTGAAGCGTTTTGCTGGTTTTCTTAATCCCACGTAACTAATGATTCATGATATTGAATTGTATTTATTTATCTATGTTTACATAGCTTACAGTTTTGACATGCTTTGAACCAAACTCGTGTTCATACGATTCGTCATTACAGTTTTTGGTGAACAAGGCTGTTTCTAGTAAATGTCATGTGCTTTAATGATTTTGGCACTTGTAAGTTCCCAAGATGCATTGTCAACGCTGTCACTGTCAGATGTATATATGTTTCAACAAGGCCCATTCAGTTGTGAACTGGGTGTAGTCAGACGCCATTTGACTTGAGCTTGCGAGTTTGAAAGAAGCATCTCCCACACCCCAATCCCCCGCCGCAAAAGAACATTCTAATTGCAACATACACCCATACAAGACACCGTGGTCCACAGCAATCACGTGCATTGCTAACAGCTAGCGAATGACCACAAAGGAACTGCAGGATTTGTGTTCGGTGTCCATCCATGTGCCCGTGCCCTACCCTGTGCTCTCATCGCCTGCCTGCCTCATGGTGAGGTCGTGCCTCTTCCATTGTATGAGGTGCTGGATGGAAAGGACCTTTGCTCCGTTGAGAGGGACCCTGGCTGGCTGTGTGCTCATTTACATAAAAAGCACACCTGGGCCCCTTCGTATTGAGACGGCCGCCCTTCCAGAAGAGCCCAAGTTGACATCCAAAGCGCCCAGAAACATAATGAAAAATGGAAAAAATGGATCCGCAAGAGGAGTTGGTCCACTTGGTGAAGTTCTTTCGCATGTTTTAACCGATTCTTTAGGGCAATCCTTTGAACCCCCCCGAGCCGTGCCCCGTGACACCGCAGGACACCCAGGACTACGTGGCGCGAGTGGAGCCCAGTGACCAGGGCGGTGCCAAGTTAGCCCAGGCCATCCGCGCAGCCATCGTGGGCCGCGAGTGATGAGGCGGAGCGCGGGAGAAGAGCGCAAAACGCGCTCGCGGCGGTGGGAAGATGGGAAGAGCACGAGACTTGTTGTTTTGGAAGGGGGCCACCCCAGACTTGTCACTTGTCTAAGAAACGAACTATATATATATGTTAATCTATATTAAGTATATAATATATCATAGCTATATTTGGGGTTGTTATTGTGTGAAGATATGTGTGAAGATTGTGAAGTTGAAGATGGTTTGATTGATTTACCATGCATTTGGAGGTAACATGGGAATGCTTTTAGTCTGAGACTCCCACACCTGCATGGTAGAAGGACGCATGGACTATAATATGACTACATCAAATTTATTAACTGTTGGGGTTGGGATTCTCTTAGAGGCACACCTGTGTGGTTTTGTTCATATCCTTTAGATCTAAAGGACTCCCACAAAGACTGGTACTTGAATTCGCGAGTGTTTGTGACTCCGATCGCTGGAATTGCTGGAATTGGTGGCCCAAGTCGGGCCTTTGCTGTTTGATGCCTTGAGGAGCAAATTCCTGCCACGGAAATTCCGACCTGGCGCGAGACGTGAGGTGACACACGTGGTGTGAATAGCTTGTTATTTCTCGACGAGAGTCGAGAAAGAGTCAGTGCAGAGTGTAGATGGCAGACGAGACGAGTTTCTCCAAGATGAAGAGCAGGTTGTATTCTGAAACGCTTTTGGAGTTAGAAGTTTGCGATGAATTCTTGGGGTACAAACCGTGTTTCATCAGACCAGGCTGTAGGGCCAGTCGCCTTGGTGAGTGCCAGATTGGAGCTAGAATACCAGGGTGGCACTGATGTCAGAACTCTTGTCATGGATAGTTTTCATGACCGGCAAGGCACCCGGCGGCACACCTCAACCAAAACACCACCAAAAACACTGCTGGCACTCTTGGTTTGTGTGAGTCCCAGGACGTTTACTCGATTGTTCATTGCTCTGAAAATTGGAGAAGGAACCCCAGTTTCACCCTACCTTGTGCAGACGGGGTGTGAAAAAAGGGTTTGAGCAGCTGGAGAATGTTTAATTTGAGCAGCTGGAGAGCACGTTTGGAGCTCCAGGCACTGCAACAAGCGCGGGGCGTGGTGCGATGTTTGTTGGTCAAGCTGTTGCGGGAAAAATGGAGAATAAGGTAGGAAGAAGGTAGATGTGTGTTCTCCTTAAAGCTAAAGCCCCAATGTTGTTGGGCCTACCCAGTCCTGAACAGGTGAGGGACGTCCTGAGTGAGGGAGGAGTCAGGTCCTGGCGCTATCGCTACTATGGAAGAGTGAAAACCCACCGAAACCTGGATGGTAATGGGTCATTAGACCTAGTCCGGTAGTCCGGTAGTCCATTCTCTTCACCTTGGGAGGGTCAAGTCTTGGGGCTGTGAGCTATATCCCTTTTTGCTTCACATCTCTTAGCATACTTGTAGCCTGCATTTTCAGGATCCCTTTCTTTGGGCAGACCACCTCCCCCCGGTTTGGGCGTTTCATCCCCCAGAGCCGAGGTGGACAACATCACTCACCTCGACTTGCGCGGCAATCGCCTCAACGCGGCCTTTGGATGGAAGCTCATCAAGGCCGCTAGAATCGGCGAGTCGTGTTCACGCTCCGATGGAGTGTGCCCCATGTTTTGGGCCGAAAAAGGCGGGGATCGAAGTGGCTGAAGTATAGATGTGCATGGAATTCATGGGAAGAGGGAATGGTACCAGGTTACCTGGTATATGCTGTATGGTGCTGGTTACCAGGTTACCAAGTAAGGCTTTCCCCACTACTGGTGTCCACCCGTACGGCCCGAAAAGCAAGGTGCAGGGTATAGGCCCAGGTCATCGGAAAGAGGTTGTGGCTAGGTCCTACTGGACTGGACTGGTCCCTGACCTTCCTTGGTAAAAGCAACAAGTCACTGTGCCACTGTGCAAATGTTCAGCGGTTGGTGGTGGTTTCAGCTGGGGTATTTGTATTGAATCGAACTGAACTTGCTTTGTTCCGAGGTTTTCACTGAAATTCAGATGATCTTGGTTCTGATGTGCGGTCGCTTCGGCTTGGCGTGGAAGCATTTCAGAAAGTCTGGTCCTTCCGATCCGACTCACCCCTAACCGGTTTGCCCCTCGGTCTGTGTGTGTGTGACCTTGAAGGATGCATCCGTATACGGTGTGTGTGTGTCACTCTCTGTTTCTAAGAGTTCCGCTTTCCACTCAACTTGTTTCAGCAGGGGGGGCGTCAACATTGTTGAACATTTCGGTTGAGCTGATTTTGCGCCATTCCGTTCCCTCACCTTTTCGACGTGGAACAGAGTTAACTGAAAACCCTATGTCTAAGTGTGTTTTGACCCTGTTTTGTCTCCGTCTTGGTCCCACAGGCCATGAAGAAGAAGTACCTGAACCTGGAGTTTTGCCATGCTCTTAGCTCGCTGGGTCTCTCTTTGGGTCTCTCTGACAGGCAATGACCGAAGATTTGGGTCTCTTTGTGGGTGAGCGAGCTGCATGTTCAGAGTCTCACTTCAGGCAGCAAGAAGAGAAAGGCAACATCCATGGCAACTCTTACTTCACACATCACTCCAGCAACTCGTCCCCACGAAGAACGAATCCGCAGGTAATGGTATCCCACTGCGGGCCTTGCGCATGAACTCCATCGAGGTTTTGGACTTGCCCGGCAACCCGTATGGGACAACTTCAGACCGACGAGACGTGAGACGTGACGTGACGGTTCACTCGTTGGTTTGAGACGTGGTTTGGTCGCAAGACCGGTGGTTTCAGAGTAGATGGCGCAATCTCCAAATGATATATGAAAAGGTGGTTCATATGGACCTCCATATAATTTTCATTTTTTGGGTTTGGGCCATTTGTTCTGAAATCGGCTTAGCACTCTGTAGCCAGTCACGAAGTAGTCCCTGGGTCACAAATTCCTCGCAGGTATTCGAAGGTTATGTTCATGTTGTCTTCTTGCGGTGATAACTATTATATATAAATTACATGCAGGGACCTCAGGTACCTTTCACAACTTTGTGGCCATACCCATCTTTTTGAGGACAACAAGGGCTGATGGAAAGGTCCTTAAGTCCTTGCTCGAGGGCCAAACACTGAACGAAACGAGGATTTGAGGAAGAATTGATGTGGCCATTTGGCTAGGATTGGCACTTGAAACTTAACCAACCACAAAGATGAGTAAAGTGAGGAGGATGTGTTTCTCATCTCAGTGGGAGTGAGTGGTACTTCGTGGTGCATGTATCCGTACTTTGTTTTCTGCGAACATGTCATGCCGGAACTGCAGACCTCATTCATGTATCCAATAGCTACTTAATGCTACTTAGTTACTTCCATCATAGGGTCATACATGGGGTAAATGGATAAACATCTAAGTATATAACCATATATATCATATACCTGGATGCTCTGGGAACTCCATGTCGCCGCTTCCGGGTCCGGTACGTCCGGAGTCTCCAGGTCTCCATGTGCCAGTCACATCGGCATGAGCGGAGCCCAGTGACACGGCGACGCCTTCATGGGGTCCATGGGTCGATGCATGATGGTGTCGGAGATGTTTTCATTCCTGACCTGGGATGATTGAACCTATTGACCATTATTGACTCATATGTTTACTTCGTGGGTTGAAGACACCAACCAGATTCTCAGGATCTGGAGCCACACTCACTGCGCTGCTGGGTAGGTGATGCCCGGACATTTTTCGACCTTTACGGTTATGCGAGGTTTGTTAGGTTGCGACGGATGAATCTGGACCTATACTTTGTAGATTCTACAATACAATGACATGGTACAGTATTCCGTATGCCGTATGCCTGACCTCATCATGGCTCAGGACTAACACTTTTTGATATCTGTTGATCAACTGAACTGGGTTGCGATAAGTATGCAGCTATTCATAGCATCACCACCACCCCCAATCACAATGTTGGATTCTGGCTTTGCAGACTTGTGGTTTTGGCCATTGATTGCGTCCACTCATTACATGTGTTTTGCCCAAGTCAGATTTGGGGTCAGCACGGGTGTGAGTTGCTCAATGGTTTGCTCAACTAAGAGTCGGTGATAAGATCACGGTCCATGCTTGCTGCTTTGTTCCGCTGACCCAAAAAAGTCGCGTCTACGATCCATGATCCAACGAAAAAAAACCAGCTGAAGAAATGCCACCCCCGCCAACCCGAACTGGAGACCCACCGGACCGTGGCGGCTCCAGTTCTCGGTCACGTCGTTCCTGTCCTCACCCGCGGCACGGCGGAACGCCCGCGGCCCCCGAGGCCCTGGCCTGAAGAGTCCAAGGAGGCGGCGATGGAGTTCGCCAACCGCGGCATGTGAGCCCCGGGAAGGTGAGAGGCGAGCAGAGACTGGTGAGTTCGGTGAGCTGTCGGTGGACTTCAGGCGGAGCTTTGCCGACCTGGGCACTTTGGGATGCGCGCTGCGCTGGTTGTTTTCAAGTAGCTGGTGAATTGGGCACAAGAGGGATCTTCTGAAAGACTAGTTACAGGGCCACTAGGGCGGGCTTCAATTGGCAGGAGAAATAACACACTGGCCAAGGGCACATGACGGTAATGATATGGAATGATGGCATTGTAGTGTTTTGATGTGTTTTGGGAGTTCCAGGTGGTGCAGGTTTCTTTCGAAGTAGCACGAGTTCCTAGTCGTAGCTATGGGGTCAAGACCCATCTGGCTTTGCAGAAGTTGCAAGGGTGGACAACCGACCTTCATGGCCAGGTAGAAACTGCAAGCATGATCAAGTGAATCCTTCCGATGCAGACACCCGCTTCAGGTGAACATGTTACATCAAGATATTATGACAATATAGATCACGCTTCTCGTGCTCGGAAAGCCACCTACCTGGGTGGTAAACTGATTGACCCAGAGGTATGGCATTGAAGTGGTGGGTGCGATTTTCTTGGCGCATTTCTTGCGACTGAACACCTCCTTGACCACCTTCAACTTCAGGCGCCGAACTGTGCGCGCACCGTGCGCTCGCAAAGCTGCGCGTCTCCCGCACCGTGGGGGGGCAGGAGCGGACCGGACCCTGATAACCCTGCAGTCATGGCACCCCCGTGCCCCTCCGTACGTGTAGAAGAAAGATGAAGAAAGTGCCATATATGCCGAGCAGTTGGGGTGGTGCCAGGGGGGTCAATGGGGCGGCATATATCGCAGTCCCATGGAGTGTCTGGGTTGGAATCGTTCCATCCCCCCTCCCTTTGTTGAGTTAGATCCGGTGCATATCGCTTGGAGCGAAGAGAACCGTCTCGATACGCAGTGCACTGCGTTGATCGCCCTCGGCGCCGGTGACGAGCGGGAGCTCAGGCTGAATCACGTGGAGAAGGACGGCGCGAAGGTCCCGTCACTGCCGCGGACCTGCCGCGTTGCGCGTTTGGTGTTTCAAGCAAGTAGTATACGAGCGGTTCTCTGGTGTTCGGATGGATTTTTTTGGGAGCTGACGTCTGCAGCAGTTGCTAGAACCTGAGTTACAGGCTTGGACGAGCAAGATGTACAGACAGGAAGCAAGAAAGGACGTTGAACCATGTTGAACCCTTCGGTTGAGACAAACAGGGAAGGAGTACGGCCGTTTCAATGTGTTCAGAGTTCAGGGGTGGTTCTTCATGAGCTCTGGAAAGGCTTTGGCTTCAGTGCATTTCGACAGAACTTCCAACTGCCCTGACAGACCGACATTTCGCCTGGAACACTCATTCGATTCAGCGTCGTATCCAAGTATCACCCTATTAGGCCCTCAAGCCTATAGCCATCTCAAGCCAATGTGGTCAAAGTTGAGTGCCCATTTAGTATCAACCCTGAAGCCTTAAGTGCCCCTGAAGCACTTCCAAAACTCAACCCCACTCGCACCAAAACAGCCACGCCATGCCATGGGCTGACCGGGCCTCTATGCCACTCGTTGAGCAAGTGAGTTCATGGGTAGAACAAAACATGCATTGCAAGTTGTTTGCTCACATCGGACATGCGAAGAGCCCAAGAATCTTGGACTTGGGTGATGGCATGGTGATGGCTTTTCCAGCAGCCAGATGTTTCTGTGTCCTTTCATCCTGTAGCATTTGTGTGAAAGAAAAGCAAAGTGCCCCTTGCCAACGTACCGACACATGTTCCTCACGGGTACAGCGGCTAGGACTGTCGAAGAGCGTGGGGAAAAAGCAGGGGTAGCTTGCTGCTACCCAGAGCTGAGGTTCGGTTGTGGAAGCAAAGATGTGCAGGAGTACCACAGACTGAAGATTCTGGAACTACCCTCCCTCAAACAATCATGGAAGCTGAGCAGACCCCCCTTGTAGAGGACAATTGGTCTTCCAGGGGCCTACGTTCCAGTTCCAGGGAGTGTATATCAATGACAGAAGCAGTGTTGGATGGCAGCACCGCTCCCAGCAAGTTGATCGTCCATGGCATCGATGGCTCAACTTTTCACATTGCACTTGCGGATGCCGTCACCGTGGCTTAGATATCGATATTTTGATTGTTTGGAGTTCAACCAGACTTCTAAGGTATAAGGTATCCCTGGATCTTCCAACGGCATCCATGTTGTGGGTTGCAAACATGTGCTCAAAATCCGTGGACAGGGAATGAAGGACGCACAGCTCGCCGACACAGAAGCCGTTCCTCACCTTGTCGTTCGTCACCACACATCCGCGGCCGTTCGTCGGCAAAAACGATGTCTTTGGGAAAGGACACTGCAAAGGCATTGGTGTTTTTTTCTTGCAAGGGCAATTTTGGTGCTGTTTCGAAGATCCAGGTCATTTGGTAACTATATATAATATATCAACATATATTGTTATTGGATCCATAGTCTATAAATGTCTATAATATATGTACAACCAATCATGTAAGAAGGGGGTGCTTCTCCAACATATCCAAGGTGGAGGATTTATCAAGACTCATTGCGGCTGCCAGTGGCGTGCCTCGATCCGGACGAAGGCTGGTGTTGACCTCTGGTGGTCAGCTCCTGGTGGACTCCAAATCCCTCTCGCAACAACTCGCCCCTGGTGCAGAGGTCGTCTACGTGATCCAGCGAGTGTCTGCTGCAGAAGCAGCGGTGAGTTTGCAGCGGGCCTTCGCAAAGGAAACCAGGCACCACTTGTGCACTGCGGATGTAACTAACATGAGTGGAATTACCTCCTTGACACTTCGAGGCGGATTCAATACGAGCTTAAAGGATGTCACCCTCCCCTGCGGACTGGAGTCATTGACCTTTGGTGCCAATTGTTGGCAGAGCTTGGAAGGTGTCACTTTGCCAAACAGCCTACAGACTTTGATTCTCGGAAAGGAATTCAATCAGAGCTTGGAAGGTGTCACCCTGCCAAGCTGCTTGCAGACTTTGATCTTCGGAACCTATTTTAACATGGGCTTGGGAGGTGTCACTCTGCCAAGCAGCCTGCAGACGCTAACCTTCGGAATGTTTTTCAATCAGAGCTTGGCGGATGTCACTTTACCAAGCAGCCTGCAGACTTTGACTTTTGGAAGTCAATACAAGCAGAGTTTGGAAGATGTTTCTTTGCCAAGCAGCCTGCAGACATTGACCTTCGGCTCAAGCTTCAACCAGAGCTTGGAAGGAGTCATTTTGCCAAGCGGCCTCCATACTCTGACCTTTGGTGACAGGTTTGACCGGAGCTTGGCTGGTGTTACTCTACCAAATAGCCTACAGACTCTGATTCTCGGAAGGGAATTCAACCAAAGCTTGGAAGATGTCACTCTGCCAAGCAGCCTGCAGACATTAACCTTTGGAAAGAAATTCAACATGAGCCTGACAAGTGTTACTTTGCCAAGTGGCCTGCAGACTTTGACCTTCGGAGAGTTATTCGATCAAAGCTTGGAGGGTGTCACTCTTCCAAGTCGTTTGCGGACCTTGATATTCGGCTTCCAGTTCAACCAGAGCTTGGAAAGTGTCACTTTGCCAAGTAACCTTCAGACTTTGATCTTGGGCAACAAATTCCAGAGGAGCTTGAAAGATGTGACTTGGCCAAGCAGTTTGCTGACTTTGACCTTGGGAGAATCCTTCGACCAGAGCTTGGAAGGTGTGGCTTTGCCAAGTAACCTACAGACATTGACCTTGAGAAAGAATACTAGCAAGAGCTTTGTAGGTTCCACTCTGCCAAGCAGTTTACGGACCTTGAATTTGACCAGCAAGTCTAACGACACTTTGGATGATGTCATTTTGCCAAGCAACTTGCTGACTTTGACCTTTGGGGACACGTTCAATCGGAGCTTAGATGGTGTTTCTTTGCCAAGCAGCCTGCAGACATTGACCTTCGGCTCAAACTTCAACCAGAGCTTGGAAGGTGTCACTTTGCCGAGCAGCTTGCTGACTCTGACCTTTGGGGACATGTTCGATCAAAGCTTGGATTGTGTTTCTTTGCCAAACAGTCTGCAGACTTTGACCTTGGGTTCCAACTTCAACAAGAGTTTAGAAGGTGTCATTTTGCCAAGTAGCCTGAAGACTTTGACCTTTGGACTGTATTTCAACCAGAGCTTGGAGGGGGTTGCTTTGCCAAGCAACCTGCAGACGTTAACCTTGGGCGGCAACTTTAACCACAAATTAGAAGGTGTCGCTTTGCCAAGCGGCCTGCAGACTTTGACCTTTGGAACATACTTCAACAAGAGTCTGGAAGGTGCCACTTTGCCAAGCAGCCTGCAGACTTTGACCTTTGGCTCCTACTTTAATCAGAGCTTGGAAGGTGTCACTTTGCCAAGCAGCCTGCAGACATTGTCCTTCGGTGACAGGTTCGTCCACAGCTTGGAAGGTGTCACATTGCCAATATCTCTGCAGCACCTGGGTCTTTATTGGTTTGAAATCACCTGCAATGCGTAGTTTGCAGCGGCTTTATGTCGTCTTCAAACGATCTTGTGCTCGCCTATTCCTGCGCTGATCGACAAAGCTGCGCAATACAAATAGGAATGGATCCACCGCGGTGGTAACTTTGTTTCTGGGTGGGAAGTTTGTTCTATTTTGTTGGGGTCCTAAATAGATAAAGAAGCAGATTTATGCAGAAGACATACCGGAATTTGTAAAGAAGACATCTTCATCCACAAATGCTTTTGGAGGAGGGTGGAGCCTGGAGTTTGGATTTGCAGTGGACTGGACTGGTGTGTAACATGATTCTAACTAGCCTTAGTGGACTGGACGTCCCCTTCGGGTTAGACAAACCCTCAGGGTCGGTGACATCACAACCAAAGCAACGGCCAAAACAATTACTGTAAGACCCTTGATGAATCAGTGCGAATTCCATGGATTTTCCATCCACATGTGTCGCATAGCTCAAAAAGGTACTGCCCCCATCCCAGAAACGACTCTATCACACATGTAGATCACTGTATAGCCTATTGGGTCCTGTATAGATGTCTAAAGCTCTCCATGCGAACGCGGCGAAGGCCTTAGCACAAAGCTTGCTGGGCAACGCGCAGACCGTCTTGCAGACGGTGCGGTTCGCCAGCGGGGGACCGGCGAAAGGGATCAAAGGGATCGGGTGTTGGCAGCGTCCCTCGTGGATCTAACGGCAACTCCCCAGGTGGAAGGACGGAAGAGAGCTGAAGGACATGAGCTCTGCAAGATGTAGATGTTTGGCACAGATCATATCTAAAGCTCTCCACACGATCTTGAAGGGTTCTTCAAACGTCTACATCATTCTGCATCTACATCTACATCAGTTCTTCAAACATCTATGGCAACGTTTTTTGCTTGTTGAAAAAATGTTCCTCACTGCGTCAACGTCGTCAACGAGTGGGCCTGCCTCTGGAAAACGTGCACAACGCGCGTTCGTGTGAACACACGAACGAGCGGACCCAGGTGAACACCATGGGCCCGACCAAGATGAAGTCAGCAAGCTCAGGAATGTGTACCGATTGGTTGGTTTGGCTTGGTGTTGTTTTGGTTTTGTTTGGTTGCTTGTTTGGTTCATGTTGGGTTGGTTTTCCCGCTTGCTTGCTTGTTTGGTTGGTTGGTTGTGTATCTTTGTGTCACTTATAGCTATTCAATTGGAGTGAGCAGCAAAATGGCTACTCCCTGGAACACTTTGCAATGCTAACAAATCCATACGTAACCAACCAACCCAACCCAATCCTTCTGTAGAAATATGTAGAGGTACCGCCGACAGTTTGATATATACAGTAAGTGGGCAGTTCGACTGGGTGATCGACAAAAGTTCTGTAGAACCAGCTGGAGACTCTGTAGAAACCTATGATTCCTATCGAGATCTTTCCAGTATCAATTTGCATGCAACAGAAGGAAAAACACACCATGCCAACTCATCCAACTCAATAAATGTCAAAAGCAAATTAGTTAGATGCAAATTAGTTCATTATAGTTATATCCATATATAATCAGAACACGTTCCTTCCTCTTCTTTCGTCTTGTCTTCTGCCTTGAACCGGTTCGCCACACATGCGAGGCCCGGGATCGACTTTGGCCACTTCAAGACCGGACACTTGTGCCTTCGGCTGCAGCTGCAGCACGGGGCTGCTAGATCGGCGATCGGCGGCGACTTATTTTGTGATGTCCGATTACGATGTGTTCTTTTGTTGACATGCTTTGGAATTTGTTATTTTTGGTGTGGTTTCTTTTTTTGTGCATGTACTTCCATATGCAGCTTTTTGGCATCGGTTTTGAGATATATTTTGGAGCTCACATTCCAGATCTTTCGAGATGATCGTCTTGGTCATTCGGACGACCCACGCACCGGGTCCGGCTCAAACTCGTCGCTGCCCGCGAGAACCACGGTGGACCTCTCGAAGCGCGGCTTGGATGACGATGACTTCGTCTTCCTCGAGGCGCCGCGCGGCGCACGGCAGCGTCGAGCGGAAGAAATCGGAGATCGATGGCAGGGAACCGAGATCGATGTGTTGGGCGGAGAGCTAGGGGGGTTGACCCGAACTGGGTGAATCCCCCAGCTGTTCTGAAACCGGTTCGGAGTTGTGTGCGAAGTTGGGACGTTGGACCCTGTGAAACAGGGTCCCCCAAGAACCCATCGCGGTGTGCTGGTGGTTGGATGTAGGCTGCACGATTTGGCTGTTTGATGCGTTTCGGAGCCTGCTGGACGTCTTCGAACTTTGTTTGGTTCAATAAAACTAGGTATTCTGGAGGAAGGTTCAGGAGTGCACCAACAATGAGAGAGTATTCTAGAGTTTTTGGGTGGTGTGGTGTCCAGAAAGATTGAAGCATGAACAGTATCACAGTGGTATCAATCTGAATTCATGCGGAATTTATGCAGGTGAAAATCCACCCCTGGTTACAATATCATCAATGTTGTTTCTGGATGGCTTTGTGTTCACAGCTGCATATGACCTCCCCGTCACATCATTCCCCGTCGACGCTCGCTTGCGGCGTTTTGAGGTCGGAACTCCGGTTGGCGGTCGGTCTTCGATCATGGATAGGAACAACTGATCGGTCGAGAACGGATAACATAAAGACACTATAAGACACTGAGTTGGTGATATAAAGACGCTGTTACAACTGAAGTTTTGCTTTCAGCACTAGGTTTAACCTGGGTCAGTCAGACTGGACCTGTAGGGGTAGGTTCCTAGTCGATCAGTTGACATCGACCCGTGAAATCAACCACCACAACTGATCGGTCAATATATTCCAGTATGGCATGCATGGATTCATGTATATAGTATCGAATGATATGGGATGCATTGGCGGTGTCTGGTATGGACACCTTTTTGACAATGGGGGGAATGTAGAATGGATATGCCCCTCCCATGGAGTGTTTGGGGTTCCCTTTGACCATGATTTTGTTGAAGCGAAAACTTGCCGGGAGTTCGCAGGAATGGCTGAGAAGATACGACTGCGTGCGGGAGCCCGTCTCCGCTTTTTTTTGGGTTCCAGGGTAGTATGGTTTGGCAACTCACAAATGCGGTTTTCTGGTAGGCAAAGACTGGTTCCGCTCGCTTGAACTTACAAAGTGCTACTGTTCCTTGCGTTCCTTGCGCCGCTTAGAGGGTTCTGAAGGGCTCTCCAGGCCTGATAAGCTCAGCCAGATTTATGTTGCCACGTCCCGGACCCTTAACCATCCCTGACCTGGAACACTGCATAGTTTCGCCATGTTTGGCCTAGCTACGCCATGCCCGGCGGTACCGCCCGGTGCCGTCTCAATGGTCCAACAGTCACCACGGTGTTTATATGATTAAAAGAACAACTCCAAGTAACTTGCTGAGAGTTTTGCGGACACTTCTTAGTCACCAGCTTCTCAGCTCATTTGCCGATTTGCCTTGCTGTCGGATGGTGTTGCAATGCTGTTGATGGATACGCAAACTCAGGAAAGCACCATGTTTGGTACAACAAGTGCAGCTTTGGGTCTTGCAGGTGTTGTGAGCCATATCTCGCCTGTCCATGCACATGTGTAGATGTGCAATGCCATCAAATCTGGCAGTGATGGCTTCCTCAGACTAGGAACTCCACCTTGAAAGTGGAACCTCTAAGCAATTCACCTGTTGACCCTGCCGTGTTGCCCCGGCCAACCCTCCCCTCCTCGGCTGCCAGTTTTGCGGTCGAGTCGGGTCACACCGGTGCACCGAACCGGAGGTCACCGACCTGAACCTCTCGTGGAACTTCATGTCCCGGGACGGCATTCGCAAGCTCACGCGGCACATCAAGGTGTGGCACGCGGCTTCACCTGGCACATGTGCCACGTGTGCGCGTGGCATGCTTTGGCACATGGGGGCACCGAGAGGGTGGGGAAACCGGGTGGGTTTGTTGCTGGGACACGGTTTGAAAACAACGATGCGTGACTGGACGGGTGCAAACTGGACATGACATGTTTGTTTTCATGTCCAGTTTGCACTTGCACTTGCTTGACTTGGGGCAGCTTTGAGGCGGCAAGGAGAAATCAAAGACCCAATGCACCGGGCATAAGCATCGGCTCATATCTTGGGACATAAGTTATTCTCTATATATATTATAGACACAGAGAGAGAGAGAGAGAGAATTGTCGACATGCTTGGAAGGTGTAATATATAAATATGTTAATACAATTAGTTTGGATTTTGAAGCTGCCATGTGGTCCCCTGTGTCATCTCCCGGATTCACTCTTGAAGAGTGGAAGATAAAAGCACAATGAACATGGGGAATGCCTTGAATCGCTTCGAAGCTCATGAAGCCTCGAAGCCTGGTGTTGAGAGAATCTCACAATCTCAGCTTGTTCTTGGCCCTAGGGATCCAAGTGCCTTCTCAGAAGGTGATTGGAGACACTGCTATGGTTTGGAGATGTTTGGAGGATCCAAGTACCTTCTGAGAAGTTCTGAGAAGGTACTTGGATCCCTAGTGTGGGTGAGTGTTCAATTTTGCTTTCATACACACATCGCTTTGATTGCAGTGCATTTGTGCATCCATGGCTGTTCAGGAGTCAAAGGTTTTGACCAAGCTGAACTGCCGGATCCCGAGACACTGCTTCAGCGCAGACTGCCTTGCGGCTGAGGGGGTTTGTTCAGCCCAGTTGAGGCCCCGAGAAGCTTGTTCTGGGGATTGCTTCAAGATCGGCATGTGCAATTGGACCTAATGATATATTACGAAAGCCAGCCTTCGTAGAAGGCGCCAGCTGAGTTGTGCTTGGCGAACGAAGTGAGTAGTTAGGGGGTCTGGGGGGGTGGCCCGCAAAAGGTACACGTAAACTCGGCACATGCTAGGGGAGGAGGGTGGACGGATGGAAGGTTTTTTGAGGTTGTGTTGGAGGTGATTTTTGAGGGGTGGTGATGCAAGAAATGCAATTTGCATCATTTGCATCATCGTATAGATACCCAGGGTAGCTATAGTGCAGTTACCAGGTATAGTACTTCAAGTTCCCTTTCCATTAACCGCTCGATAACCTTTACACACGCACAGCAATCCACAGCTTTGAAGTCTCATGCGCGCGATACCTGGGAACAGAATTGTAGCTACCCTGGGTCCGTATAAATGCTATGTTGCTAAACCTCTTACACACCTACAAAAGTGCAAAGCACGAATGAGACTTCAAAGCTGTGGTTTGCTGTGCATGTGTAAAGGTTATCGAGCGGCTGACGGAAAGGGAACTGGAAGTACTATACCTGGCAACTGAATTGTAGCTACCCTGGGTATCTATACCTGGCAAGGTGCCAGCTGAGTAAGGAGGGGGGTTCGGGGGGTGCACGGAAGTAGGGGTGCACTGAGGCAAGGTTTTGGAGGTGCTTTTTTGGGATTTTTCGAAATGCAATTGTCTTCGGTTGGTTGCAGTGCTATACTTGGCAACTGCATTGTAGCTACCCTGGGTATACCTGGCAACTGCCTTGTAGCTGCCCTGGGTCCGAGCGCGCGCGCCTAAATCACGGGCAGCCGGGAGCCAGCAAGGCGCGCGCGCGCGGACCCAGGGTAGGGAAATTGAAGTGAGATACCTGGCAGCAGAATTGTAGCTACCCTGGGTCCGTATAGATGCTATGTTGCTCTACCTCTTACACACATATAAGTTCAATGCAAGAATGAGACTTCAAAGCTGTGCGTGTGTAAAGGTTATCGAACGGTTGACGGAAAGGGAACTTGAAGTACTATACCTGGTAACTGAATTGTAGTTACCCTGGGTATCTATACCTGCCCCAGCTGAGTATGAAGGGGGGTTCGGGGGGGTGGCCTGAGAAAGCACACTCGAAAGTAAAAACGCTGGCTTTCGTTTTGCAGATTCCCAGGTATATATGTATGTATATATATATATATATCGAGGACCGCTATCAAGGTCGCAAGGATCCGTGCAGCGGGAATTAAGACACACCACTCACAGCACTTTAGCCTTAGCCCAATGTCCAACTGACATTGTCTTTGCTTTGGGGTTTGAATCCTTGATGGACACAACCTCAAGAAAGGTGAGGATCATGCCAATTTATAGACCATCCACTGCCAAGCGCAAGGAGGTTACATAATTCCCATGTATTGGAAGTCATTTGGGGATGGGTCAAAACCTGGAGCCCTGGTCCACCATTTGCCGCGAGCGACCAACACCAGGTGGGTCAACGGGTCGGTATCCTGCCATGACCCACGGCCGTTTCCGGACAGTCTTGTGTACTGATCGACATTCATGCGCTACAGGTCCTAGCTTGCAGGGTGAGTGGTGTTTTCTTTTTTTTTGCCGAACACCAAATGGATGGTTGTTTTCACTCAACACTGACCTCCACATTCGGACGTGCGTTTTCCGAATGGAGTGTGATTCTTCGATGTTGGTTGCGGTGCGTCGACGCGAGGCGTGGGATTGCCTGTGACGCTGGAGGTGCCTGGCTGGGAGGATTGGAGACCCCCAAGAGGTTCGGAGAGTGTGGCTGGGTGTTGGTTTGACCCTTGAAAAAAGGGATGTGACATGATTTAAGTGGATGGTCAGGTGAAAAAAATGGTGCATTGAAGTGTTCAAGAAACAGAATCGACTTGACTTGAGCCACCAGTATTTGTTGGAGTGGTGGATGCAAAGGAGATGTCATTCGACTTCAGCTGATCCAGCCAAGTCTCAAGATGCAACAAAGGAGCTGTTGGAACCTTCTCTGGCTTTTGGTTGACTGGACATTGGACCAACCAAGGCTGATCGTTTCGCTGGGACTGCGCCTGGCCCCGCTGGGTCCACAGGAGCCTTCAGTGCCCAGCAGCACGCACGTCACACGCGATCCGCGCGGATGGCAGGGCTCGGCGCTCCTGGCACGCGCGGTGGTGGAGAACCACACGCTGCGGCAAGTGGCGTCAGGGCTGCCGAGTGCGCGGTCGATGGTCCATGTGTTTTTGTTTAATTCTCTGAGCATTAGAAGGGTTGAAGGTTTTGGAACAAGAGATGTATGGGCGAAGGACTAAGTGACTGTCAGCATCCAAGCAAAATGATTCTCAGTATTTATGGTGGCCGAAAGCTGATGAACTCTGTAACCAGCTTTTTTGTAGTTGTTTCTGGCAACACCCCATTGTGCGCTTCAAGGGGTTGTCCGCTGAAGATGATCGCCTCTCAGCCTGCGTACACTGACTGGACTGCTGAGGTTGCCGTTGGGACACTGCCACGATACCACCGAGCGACAACAGGCAAGCTTTGCACAGCTTTTAGAAACCACCAGCTGTTCGATCCGTTTGGAGTGCAAAACCTTTTCATGGGGATTCATGTTTCATGGACTGGTGAACAGCAACTTCAGAGAAATCCTTCTGCATGTCACAGATCGGGGGAATTTAGGGTAAAGTGGCAATGCCATGCGCCACATGCCTGGCTGGGGGGGATATTGTTTCAAGGCGGTGATCACTCATACTACACAACCGGGTGTGGTTGTCATGAGATGCCACACTGCTGCGGAACAAGAAAAACAAACGGGAAACATTGCAGGACTTCTGAGCCTTCCTACTTCCTACCTACCGATAGTTGCTATTGTAACGGAATTTCCTGTATATAGAGCAACTTCCTTTATAATAGCCTCCATTGTCATGGATCCCTTGATATATATATATATATAGATATATAGATAAGGCCATTCCAACAAGCATCAAACGATCACTCTCAGTTCCTTTGGACACTCGCCGGACTCGAACAAATACACCGGAACCAACCATAAGGATCGGATCCGGAACCACCCGGCGACCGTGGCGTGGCGGAATGCCGCTGCGTCTTTCGCCGCCCAGATGATCCAACAGTTCGGCATGGGCCTCGCGAGCCACCCCACGCTGCACAGCTTCGCGTGCACGCGGACGCCCAACTTGGAGTATGCCCGGGAGGCCCAGGGAAAGGCCATAACTGCGAGTACGTCGGACCCAGTCATTGAGAAGTAAGAACCCCTATAGCTATCGCATGCTATCGCTATCTGGGGAAAAAGAGCCACAATCGCTCCAGATCTTTCAGGTGGGTGACTGGGACGAAAGTAACTGAGGAAAACCTGGTGGGCGACACCCAGTGTTGAGGAAGGCAGCGATGGGAACCATAATTCGTTGTTCCCATGACTAATGATCGAGGGGTGCATGTCGGCAGATGTTGCAGACATGCACTGCAGCCAAGAAGAGATTCTACTTTGGAGGTGCTCTTTCCTTCCTTTCTCAGCCTCAAGCATCTTGAAAACAGCGACAACCGCTCCGACCATGGTGTGAGTTGTGTCGGTTTGTTGTGTTGGTTGGCCCCCCTTGAAAATCAATTCTGTTTGTAGGTATAGTTCTAGAGTGTGACTAAAAATCCTGCTCTCAATGAATTCTTTCAATCTCCCATCTACTTTATGTAGTTTTCTGTATATGTATTTGGCTACAAAAAGTAGTCGGCAGTGCTTCTTACACCCTCCGACGCAAACTACTTTACTTCGAGTGATCCCCACCATGGCATTCTATTATGCTGATAGCCAGTGGCTATATTGCCCCAACATCATCAATAAAGTGACTATCTTGCACATACACTGGCATTCTATCTGGCATATCATATATTCTGAAATTCTATCTGGCATATACTATGGCATTCTATCTGGCATTATTTCTATCAATCTATTTGACATCTCATTCTGCATTCTTTCAGTTCCGGTGGTGCCCACGCACTGCACCCTGGAGCTGGAAGGAAGGAAGGAAGGAGGCGGAAAAGGAGGGGGAGTTGACGGCTGTGACAAAGTCAAACAACCCTCACCCTGCCAGGTCGGGAACATTGGCTTCCAGTGGGAAAGCTCCTGCTCGTAAAGGAAAAGCGTCTTCCGGCCATGTTCTACTTCCATGTGGAGGGTCCGAGTGTACAATGTTGTTTCAGGATCTGACCTGAGGGTCTGGTCGCAACCAGACTCGTTGCTGACTGAAGTCCTCGGGTCTTTTTCACGCACGGCTTTGGGTGCCCCGACTGTGGTACGATTGAGGCCAACTTGAATGATGCCAGAGAGAATAAGGCGGAGAGAAGCCGGGGAGGAAGGATTGATGGCAAAGTTATCAAGGGATTCTTCTGGAAGAACTCATGTGAAATGGACTATATATAGATATATGTTTTTTTTTCTGTGTAGCTGTATAGTCTGTGTAATACTCCATTGTATAGTCTGGACGTTTTCGAACAAGCGAGACGCCTGCCAGATCAAAGACAAGGCCTTCCCTCCGGAAAGGAGTGGCGGTTGGCCACGGACACAGGCGCCTTGTTGGTGTGGGGAACGACATACAGCCAGTGACGCGTTGATTTGTATAGACATATTGGGTTAGTACCCATGAACGCTCTAAACAAAAGGTGTGTGTGTGTGTGTACATAATAGTTGTTTAATTTGCAACTGATCTATGTCCATCGAAGTTTGAAAACAGACTTTGGTTGAGCCACTGCGCATCATGGCCGGACAGACTACCGGTAGGTCAGCATGGCTTTGTTTGAGGAGAGGTTGACCCTGCAAATGACCGATGCTTACCGTATAGTATAGTTTACGTTGTGGCTGATGGCATGAACACCCATGTTTCAACTGTGAAAATGTGTGATAAAACGTTTTGCTTTGGTGTAATTTCAAGCCCCAGGGTGTTTGTTGGGATCAGGCTGTGGAGTAATCACTTGCAAAGAACCCATGTTTTTCATATTTTGAATGATCGACGGGTCGTTGTGCTCACTCCCGTCCACTCCCGTTCGCCAGGAAAAGTGAATAGCCTTTAACCAGTTTTGGAGATGTTTCCCCATTACGCGCGAAAAGGTGGAACAAGGTTAGCCTTGAATATTCTCCAGCGAAACTGAGGGAGTCACTGGTCTCCACCCTTGCGCGTGGACCGCCACGCGCACTTCTGCAGATGGCGGTCTTCATGTGGTTCATCTCCGCTTTGAAGCCTGACCTCGAGAGGTGCGGCTGGGTCCAGAAGAAGGTTGACTGACACGACCACCAATCCAATCACCTGGTTCAAGCCATACCTATGGCAAAGAATCAAGTATATAAGAGCACATTGGCCATTTATGTGGGGAATGGACAGGTTTTGAGCTTCTCACAGATGGAGGTCACAAGCGCCTAAATGTTCATCCAAAATCATCACGTGCGTTTGCCAGGAGGTTGACTCCTTTTTGATCCACTGGGTTTGTTCTAAAAGGATCCCAAAGGCAACTCTGTGAAACGCCCCTAATCAAAAGGAACTTCCGTGACTTGACCTTGGGCCATCATGGGTTGAGACCCACGTGTGATAGATTCACCATATCACAAATGTTGCGATTTTGCCGTCCGAAAGCACCGCAATGCGATGTGACTGTGAATCCATGTTTGAACTTAAGGAATATGAATATAATTTGCACTGAACACTCACTCAATTCACGTTGAACAGTGTTCACTCACGCCTGTCAACTCTTGTGGCTGTTGTTAACATGTTCCTTATTTGGCCAGTGGATTCGCCCTAGCCCTTGCTGATGCGACTTCGCCCCCGGCGAGCGGGGCCACGTGCGCGCGATGACGACGGCCAAGAGTGTGGACGACGACGTCTCCTTTTGCTGCGTTCCTTACCCCCCGGGCGTTACCGCCGACCGGCCTTACCAGTTGGACGGTATAAAATTCATTGGTCACCCAAGAAGTCATGGGCCATTTTTCTGTGTGAAGTGTGACTCGATGCGACTCAAATCAGAACGACTTCGTCGGTGGCTTTTCGATGTGAGTCGGCCTCCAAACCAGCTTTGATGTGATCGAATCGACCGCTTAGCAAGCAAGGAGTGCTTTGAAAGCACCGACTGACTCGGCTGTCCCCAATGTAGGATGTTGATTGAGAACCCCCTCCCATTTGAATCTGACATGTCCAAACGAACAGCCTACAGGGTTCGTTTGCAGGCTAACGCTTGGTGGCAATGGGAAGCCCAAAGTGGAGTATCCCAAGGAAGTTTGCCAAGGCCTTCGGGGTTGGTCGGGGTCGAAATGGGTTGTTTTCTATGCCGGCCTCTCCTCGGCTTGGAGGAGAGCTTCGCTTGGACGTTCGTTAAACATGGTTCGGCTTTCCTGAAAATGCTGGTGCTCCTGAGGATGTCAACCAAGAGGTAAGGTATAGGAATCTTATTGTCGAGTACAATGGCTTGTATAGCAGTTCCAAAAATGGGTACGAAGGAGGAACCGGGTCACTGACAGGAAGACCAGCTTTCCGGAGTTTTCTACTCTATAAAGACATAATTATGATCCTGTTCCTCTTGTGCTGTTCTGGCTGGGAGGGTAGCCAATATGTAGCCATGTAAGCAGTTTGCAGTTGCGAGAGAGGATCATTTGTTTCGTGGAAACTTGGACCTCGGGGACTCATTTGAGGGGAGGATGAACAAGTACCAGAAGGAGTCTGCACCCGGTGTCACACGTGTCAACTGACCATCGAACAAGACATTGTGGCCATGATGATCCATTGCCAGGTATCTTTTGAAACCCTCACTTGCAGGATCTTCCAATGATACCATCAATTCTGGAAGCCTCCAGCTTCCCCACCCCTCCCCCCCAAAAAGCTTAAGAATTATCTTCTTATGACTTATGTGATCTGTTCGCATTTCTTCGAAAGAATTTCCGACTTTCGGGGCCCATGCTGCACGCTCTGACCGGGGCTCCCAGCCTCACGGGGCTCCCGCACAGGTCGGGCGCGGGACCTCGACGCCTCAGGTGCCAATCCGGACCTGATCCCGGCCACGCTGGGCGTGCTCCACGATGCGGGACATCGGCTGCAACAGGTTTCGCACCAAGCGCAAGCGCGTTGGAAACGGAGAAACACCACGGTCCGGTGACGTTGGCGGCTTCTTGTGGGGTTAAAATATATTTAAATCCTAACGGAAGGAGAGAATAGCTTCTGAAGCTGCTTTTTTAGCAGAGACTTGATGTTTGACATATGTTTGACACCAGAATGATGGGATTATATCAAAAATGATAGCAGAAGATCAACATGATTGATGTTCATTCTGCTTGGAAGGGTCAGTGACCTTCATTCATAATTGTATGTGTTTTTGTTGGAGCCCCAAACCTCCTGATCAACTCCTCCCCTGCCTGGCCCAGACCATCCATGGCGACTGGAATCAGTTACATGATACTCATGACCCATCCAATCCAATGTGGCGAAACAAACTCTTCCAGAGTCCCATTCGCGTCAAGTGGTCGATGCATCCTCAATCCAAAAGCACCGCGTCACGTCAGTTGGTAGGTCTCCATTGCTTTGCCCTTGGGCTATGCCTCACGCTCCATGGAGCTCATGCGCGTCCGGGTCCCCGGGAACTCCCGAGACGGCGAAGGAACACCGTTTGGGGGGGTAGGGGTGGAGGTGTTTGGGATGTGGTTGTGAGGTATCAAACGACGTGAGGCACGTGAGGTATCAAGTCTTTCTCTGAAAATCACGATAATCACAATCAACCTTCTCACTGTGGGAAGGGATGACCTATACACCACAGTAAAGAGTGGGCTACTTGAGATGAACGTGGGTGAAGGACTTAAAACGATTCAACCTTGACAGCCACATCAGCTACATATCCCTTCTGCTTGCAGGGCTTGATTCCCAGACATGTTTGAGTTTACGCCAGGCCATTGACCATTTGATACAAACTGCGCAAGGTAAGCAGATTGAATCAAAGTCTTGCGGGTACTTTTCCATGCTTTCAGACCACGTGTTTGTTCTTCCACCTTCGGCTCGCCGTTCCCCACGGTGTGTGGACGGACGGAGGTTCTCCCACTCCGGTGGGGCCTGACGGCGTTTCGCGCCCAGGTGCTGACGGTCTGCGGCAGCATGAGATCCTTGAAGCTCTTGGGATTCGCTTCGGTAGCTCAGATGAGATTGCTCAGAATCCAGGAGACACAAACAGCTTTTACATGCATGTATATGGTTAACAGTTGACAGTTTGTAAATGTTCGTAATCTTAA